TATAAATTTACAGGTGATCATGTATTGTGTTATATTATATTTCTGGAAAATTTAAGGGGTAGTTATATAATAATTTTTAACGATCTCAGGCGGTCGGATACTTATGACCGCTACTGTATATTAATAATTATTAATTTTAAAATTTAAAAATATTATTATTAGAAATATTTTAATATGATAAATCTAATAAATTTTATTTTATTTTTTTATAATCAAATATTTTAAGTTTTTTAAAATATTTTATAAACATTTTATAATAACCATTTAAAAAATAATATTATAAATAAATTAATAATTTAAATTATTTAAATAATTAAAGTATAATATATAATTTAATTATTATATATTAATTTAATTTAAAATTTTTAAAATTACTATTTAGTTATTATAATTTAAATATAATATAAATAAAATTAATTTTAAATATATTAAAAATTATTTATCAAATAAAATTTATAATAAAAAATTTTTTTTATATTAAATTAAGATTAAAGTTTTACATTTTTTAATAAATATACTTTTTTTATTTATTAAAAAAAATATATATATTACTAAGTTAAATATTATTTATTTATAAAAAAATTGTATATATTTAAAATTATGACTATTAAAAATGAAATTTTATTTAAAATAATAAATTTAAAATCTAATTATTTAAAAATTTTAAATAAAATTCTTACTATTAATAAATTATAAATAAATTATATAAAAAAATATATTATTTATTAATTAATTATAATTAAATTTTAATTATATGTTTTTATATATATATTAAAATAACTGTATATAAATCCTATATATTTTATATATAACATATATAATAGTTATGAATTTTAAAATTATTAATTAAATTTTACTACTAAATCTTTTTCAATTTCATTATTTATAAATTATTTAATTAAATTGATTATTTTTGAATTAATATTTTTATTATTTTAAATAATAATTTGCAATTATTTGATTTAATAAGATTAAAGAAATTAATTTATACTATATAATAATAAAAATTTTGGTATTTGGTATTATAATTTATTTTCTCTTTTTTTTATTGGTTTGAATGGCAAATACTTTAGCCTAACCAATCAGAATCTCAAATTTTATGGATATAAAGAGTTCTTAATCAAAGCATAAGTTAAACTAATAAAAGATTTTTTGAAAAAAGTAAATTTTATTTATCAATTTTTTTTTATTGATTAACCTTTGGTTCATTTAAAAAAATTTTTTTTTCGTAAATTTTTTATAGTGGCATCCGGATTCGGCTATAATGGAGATCGTAGTAGATGTTTTGCTTTCTGGCAAGAATTTCGTAAATGTTATGCTATGGCTGATAGACCCGAACAATGTACATTACAAAAGGACGATTATTTCGAATGTTTACATCATACAAAAGAGGTACTCGTTAAGAATTAATTTATACTATAAATTCGTTCTTAACTAATTCTTTTTATTTATCTAGAAAGCACGTGCTAAAACTATTAAAATTCAAGAATTAAAATTAATTGAACAAAGGAAAAAACAAGATGAAATATCTCGTAAATTAACTGATTCTGCTAATAAAAGTAATGTAATGAGATTAGGTATTATAGAAGATAGTGATAAACAAAAAGAATCTTCAAATTAATCACAATTTCTAAATAACTTTTTTTTTTTTTTTTGATTACAATAATGAAAACTATTTTATCAATCAAAAATTTTATCTACAATAAAGTTTAAAACAACTACGTTGAATCTTTTGAATATAAATGTACGTTATTATCTCTCCTGTAATTTTAATGTTTCTACCCTAAATAATCTCGATTTTCAAATAGTTCATCCTCATCTGTCAATGTTACACTCTTTCCTTTGCCCTTGTCACCTTTAACTTCTTCGCTTCGAGAATTTTCATTTATATTCGAACCAGTACTAGTATTAATGAAATTAGCATTTCCAACATTATTATTTTCAATTGTATTTGTATTTGTATTTGTAGTATTATTATTATTATTATTATTATTTACTGATGAATTATCTTCCGCTGATGATGTAGTTATGTTCGACTCCGATGTTGGGATACTAGGTAATGCGCTGACAGCCTGTGTGAGCACGCTGATAACATTATAAATTTGTACTTGTGCGTCTTGTAGTATTCTTATTTTCTCCTCAAATGCTGCACGAGTATTAGTTTCCAATAAACGAATTTGTTCTTCCGTTAAAGGTTCCAATGTTGTTGATGAAGCATTTGAATTTGAATTATTAATATTCCCTATGCCATTATTTCTTAATGGTAGAACTGGGAAAAGTGGTATTAATCCTGGTGAAGTTTGCATAGACAATTGTGATAAATTAATAGGTTGAAAAGGCATTGATGGCTGTGCATTATTAAATGTCCGTGAATTTGACGAAGATGATTGATCCAAGAGTATCCTAGATGCAACTGGCTGATTAGGTCTCCGTGTTGAATTATTTTGATTTTGACTTTGTGTACTAGATGATGTTGAACTAGATTCTTCATGTGTCTATAAATATAAAACCATTAATAATCATTTTTATATACGGTGATTGTATTTTGGTTAACTAACTACATACCTCTGTTGTCGATCGATCTCCAATATTAGACTGAGAATTTTGTGGTGGATTCCGTTGCGTCTCTTGTGGATTATTTTGGTGTGGAGGTTGTGGGATATTCTGATTTATACCATTTGCTTGTTCACCCACATTAGGTGCATTTGCTAGAGGAATAGGAGCCATAGGCAATTGTCCATGAAATTGTCCATGCATCGCTGGAGGTGGCAACATAACAGTAGGAAACGCTGGGAATGCATTAGCAATAAATCCTGGATGATTTGGGAAAGGCACGCCTGGAGGTAATTGAGGTTGTGGTGGTTGTTGTCCTTGTGGTCCATTACGTACAGCTTGTGCCTGAATGGGACGTTGCTGTTGTTGCTGTTGTGCTGCGGGTGTCGGTTGCTCCAAGACAGGTCTCCGACTACATTTTTATAACATTTTAGAAGCGAATTAAATTAAATGATAACTTTTATAACTGAATATTTACTTACCAAGTCGGGCAACTTTGTTGTCTTTCTAACCAACTTCTTAAACAATGAAAATGGAAAATGTGTCCACAAGGTAATTTCTTTGGTACATCTCCCAAATTATTATTGCTTCCTTGTCTAGGCCTATCTCCGTTGTTGTTTCGTTGTGGATCGGCATTATTATTATTCGCATTATTATTCGCATTATTATTGGAAACTATCATTTCCTCCCGACAGATAATACAAGTGCGATCGCTTAATCGCTCAAGTTCTTCGTTAGTAGCATTAGGATAACGTTCATTCATATTTCTAGTAGCACGACGATATCTTACTAAATCTCCACACTTTTGAAGAAATGATCGAAGCGTTACATAAACGTCCCGAATAATATGTAAAGGTATTCCATAAGATACGAGAATTATAGCGAAAAAGATAAGATATACAATCAATTTAAAGAAATCTACATAAAAGATACATTATAATTTAGATTAATATAGAAATTAAAACTAGTATACCAACATTCATTATTTACCGATCACCAATTCCAAATAGAAAACATATATTGATTTATTCTCCCATGGTTCTTCACGTCTCATATCAATTACATTAAATGTATATTTAAAAATAGTAGATACTATTGTTGCTGCAAGAATGGAATACTAAATAAAAATTATAATTTAGAATAGAGGAGAATAATAGAACAAATTAAATAATAAATATAAATAATACGCACTTCAAATGCAAACATTATCATCATATTTGGTCCATTTTGCACTGTTACATTAATAGCATATGATGCCAAAATCAGATCAAATGCAACCAATATTTTCATTAATGAAACCATCCGCACATGAAATGAAATTGGTACAGCTGGTGACTGTTCCATCTGTTTTTAACCAATTTCTTTAGTATTAAATAAAAAAAAAATATAATAAATAATAAAAAAAAACTTTCAAAACTTGGTATTTTATTAAAATACTCACAAATTCTACTCGATCTTGACATAACCAATGAAATGTTTTTAAAAACAATAAGGTCGTGAACGTTACAACGAACCTAGTATTGAATTCATCTCGGAATATTGTCATGGCTAAGCATGTTTCGGTGATAGCATACCATGACCTTTCGTATAAATGCTTTAATATAAATTGCAGAAATAATTTGTAAATTTAATGAAACCGAAAAAATTTATTTAAAAATCGTTTTTATACCTCAATTTCAACAGCACGTAGCCGTCCGAAAAATATCGCCTGAAGTACTTTACCCAAAATTATCGTTAGGAAAAATCCCATATTCATTAAAATCTAGAATTGGAATAATGAATAAAAAAACGCGATTGAAAAATGAGAGTCTTTTCTAAATTGCAGATCTTTAAACCTGTGAATAAAGAGTATCACTTTTGATACTCGGTACAATTTAGCAAATGTTCGTAAAAGCTATCACTTAACCTACCATAATGCAAGCACTAGATTTCGACAAATATATACACGCTGCATAGAAATTAGGTCTTTGACGAAATGCTGCTGCAATAATCGAGAGAGTCAATAAAGAGCTGATTCCACCGTAAACTGCCAAGCGAACCATCTTTGAATATCAATAATTCTATTTTTAAGTGAAATAAAATACAAAATTATATAAAAATTAAAAACGTTTTTTTTTAAAAAAAATAAATGAATTAACCCAAAGCCATTTAAAGCAGGCTTTGTAATTTTATTGCGAAAAAAAAAGTGAATTATTAGTATTTATATCATAATGATATTCCACTATATTTATGCCACGTACACTTCCCTCCAAAAAATATCCGACCACTTGCCGATCATTTACCGATCATTTGAAATTATAGCTGATTTCGACGTTTATTAC